GACACTAAATACAGAGTCTCTTATTTAAGTATCACAAATATCAGACAAATAATTTTATATCTTAATAGATAGAAAACGTTCTTCATTTAAGACGACAAATTTTTACTTTACTACTTACTCTCTCTCTATTGCAATTAAGGAAAGGAGATTGCAGCCGAGGATGAGCACTTACTGGGGAAATAAGGAAGGTTGTTCAGTCCAGGGGAGGGTGCCGCTGAAAGACTAAGCATTAGGTACAGCTTAACATCGATAGGGACTCTAGCACCTGGGTACGCCATTAAAAAGTCCCCTTTTTCTGCATCATCGTAATACCATATCCAACTTCTTCCGATACTTTTGCGAATTCGAGGGAACTCGTCACAAAAATTCTCACGTGTTTGTCTATTGCGACAAGATAAACTCTAAGCTGCCTTTATAAAAGTAGTTTTATATACAATATGAATATTATCGCGATGAAATTTAATAATAATTTTTCACAGTTCTTCTCAATGAGAATTTTCCGTTGAAGTGATGTCAGAATAAAAAATTGTATCGTACAGTTTTTTGTGTTTGTTAAATAAGATTAACTTAATTTTTCACGCGTTTGACGATTTATTTGATTTATTTGCATGATACCGCTGATAAATTCTCGTGCATTTGTTCGATGGATTTTTTAGGGTGAACATCGATAGATGGTGTTCGCGGTGGATATTAAAACAACCTATTAACACGAGCCTCACGCAGGGGCTGTTGGTCATCGACACGCAGCCGGCGGTGACGTTCAGCCCTTTAATTATCGTCGATAAATCAACGCGCCATGTCGGTCCTTCTGCTTGGTTAGCGTTATTCTTTTTGCTCTTTTGTAAACAAATAGAAACCCGAAACTGAGAAAGTTCTCTGCGTTTTGCTTCTCGGCGTCAGTTGGTTTCTCGACACACGCTTTATAGATTAATTCTGAAATGTCAGTATAAAAATATTGAAACGTGAATTTCGCAAGCTATTCATATCTTTGTATAGTTGGCAAAATAAGCTTCCATTAAAGGGTTATCTCTTTTTCGGAGCCTTGAAAAAAAGGTAGGCTGAAGACCATTTCAGCGCGCATTATCTCACGCTGATTCACCCTGACGTTCAGTCGTTACCGCTGTTTGGAAAAGAAACGCGACGGGCGTTTCAACCCTACCGGTCTCGTCCGTTTTTCGCGCGCATTTCCTGCGAGCGCGTATTTATTCGTGCGTGCTCCCGACGCCGGGCGGGCGCGTATTGTTGCGAAATTATCGGCATTGTCATGCGCGACTCGATTTATTTTGTCTATTCGGCGGAAAAGTGCTTTCATTTAGCGTGATCGGCGGAAAGGGAGGAACACGTCAAAACCATAGAGGAAGACAAATAGACGGACTGTCACGGGGATGAACAGAGAAGCAGACGAGCGCATTGCTCGCCCCAGGCGTTCTCCGCGACAAAAGCTCTTAATTCGACAATGCGTCCGTCGAAAGGGGACAATAGTCGACTTTCGGTAAATAATGATTCCTTCGATCCTCGCCGCGCCGGTTCTCCAAAGTCTTCCACCTTCGCAAGTGCCACTTCACATTGAAACACCAAATGGCGATTTTAATGCGCGTGAATACGACGCGCTTGTAACGAACAAAAGCAGGATCGTTGACAATGTTAGACCGAACCGCGAGTTTTGGATAATAAGCATTCGAGTTACAATTTCTATATTGCGGTTTCTGAGATCTCGTTGAATCCCCGAGGTAATTAAGGAGGGGAAAATTAAGATTTTCTTTTCGCCAAGATTGCAATGTCGGGAACGTGATTCGACCGAGCGAGCAAACGGACGAACGGCGAAAAATTCGAAATCGGATTAGTGAGAGCGATGGGACGCTCGATTTCGTTCCTGTCTGTTTCGAGCCTTTCATTTTTCGTCCCTCCGGGAACGTCGGCCAGATATTTGCATTACAAATACACCTTCACCGGGGTTTTTCTCGTTTCATTAAATTCGCTTTTTCCTCGAGACGTACCTCTTCCTCTTCGGCCTGTCTTTTCACCGTCATGAATGTACTCCGACATTCATCCTCATCCCAGCTCGAAAGGGTTGTATTAAGAATTTTAATACCGCGGGAAAAAGTTTGTCACCACCGAACACAGAAATCGTTTGTCCCGCGAACGTGCGCCGAAATAAGATACCATAGCGTTAATTATTAATCCAGAAACGTTCTTTCTCTTTGGGAAATTTTTCTTGTGATTGCTTATGCTAATTAATAATTGCTTCGTTAAAAAGTTGTCGGTTGTACATTGTCAAGTAAATATTAATTTTTAGTAATTTTTTATATTTTCTTAATAAAAGAATTTCAAACAACAAGTAACATCAAATTCATTTAGTTTCAATTTTGATAAGAATATATATTATGCTAATTTTACTAACTTATCTTGTGTAGATTATCCAATTTATTAGGGCTATAAAGGGCTAAAAAAACATTTTATCGATCAAGTCAGTGTTACATCTAATCTTCCAAAATCCTTCGCTTCTTCCGGTACCACTGCGATCCACATCCGGATTTTCTTCTCAATGACAGATATTTGTTCATCGTAAATCTTTATCTTCGATGTTCGAGTTCCGATGATAACCGCATACGTGCCGCGCGATTAGATGCCCCGATCAGAAACGATTACGCGGATTTGTTCGTTACTTCGACGACCTGGTAGTTATATCCTGATGAAATTGAGATACGATCGGCCGACTTTCCCTCATGATCGGTGTGCAACGCTAACGTGAATTATGGAGCTCGCGTGCCACGCAGGCAGCAGTCGAAAGATACGAACGCCGTCATTTTTGGCGTGAGATATTTACGTGGGAACACAACCTTCCGAAACCTTCCGCGCTATCGGATCGGTATGCTCTACGAGTGTAAACACGGGACGATGATGATCTACGACCGTAGATGTGCTACATCGCCTCTTGCGAGGTCATTAGATCGATATTCTCTCTGCTGAGATATCGCTACGATATAGGAGAAGTTGCACACCTTCCAGACTATTATTTATTTACGAATCCTTTAATAAAGTTATCGTCGATTTTTCTTCAACAAGTATACAGTAAGAAACTATTGGCTTGTATGTAATTGCGCGATTGGAGAGCAAGATTTGTTGAGCAAAGTAGGTTAGAAGCAAACGATAATAACATTTTATTCTTTATTAAATTTCAAATCAATTTTGCTCTCTCTTTCTTGAATTTTATAATATTTGAGAATTGGTTATGAAAGTGTATAGTATTGAAAATTCGAAAATTGTGATAAATATGTGCGATAATTTCTCTTTAAGGAAAGCTTGAGTTCCGATTTGGCAACGATATTATATAAAAGTGTGGAACATGAATCATTAAATTTTTGGCACGGTAACAGCGAAATGTGTTATATATCTGATATTCCGTTCGTATAACACGTACAATTTACAGCTAACAAAGAAATGTTACCAAGTTTTTGTATAAGTCTCGTGTCTACATCTAGTCTGCAACGTTGTCTTAATTAAAGTTGGCTGACTTCTGGCTTGTTGCGTCTTTCGCGCCACTCGTCAGGCCGGCTCGTCCCCAGGGGTGCAATTTACTCGCATCTTCTCCTTTCATCCCTTCACTCAATCCCATCAAGCAGCCGGTTTTAGCTTGTCTGCATCCATTCCGAGCTTCTTAAATACGGTGAGCTACTGTCTTATCTTACATCATCTAACGCCGATCAGCTTATTAATTTATGCGAGAAAGGTTTTAATGAAGTAAAAAAAGCCATTAACTTTCGCCTGATAATCGCCCCTTATTTGACATCCAACTTCCCTTTTTTCGTCGCTACTTTACATAGAAATAACGAATATGTATATTAATGCGGTATCACGTTTTTTCTGATTTATTAAAGTAGCAAGCGAACGCGTTTTTTTTATTCGTACAATGAATTTAATACCTTTCTTTAATTTTGTCGTATCGTTATCTGCTATGAAAAAAATAATGAGATCGCACACACACATGCGGAACTGTTACTTTATATATATATATATTACAAATAAAAAAGCATGACCAAATACGTATGTGATAAATTCAAATTTTTTATAATACATTTTTTATAATACAATCGCACTAAATTTATGTGCATGAATCAGATAGTAGCAGATGTTTCAAACCGAAATCAGGCAGAATGAAATATCTTCTTTAAGGGGCGCAATCTCTTTGTGAATTGGTTAATTAAAAATTAGCGAATAATCCGAAATGTAATTAATGAAGGTAAAGAGTAGCGATTGAGGGGTAGACATTGCTTCGAATGAGAGTCACCCCGATTGTTTCCAGACATAATTTGGAAAGGTATTCTCTTTTTGTAGGATTATGAACTTGGGTACGGTGCAGCATCCTCTTTAAGACATCTGCTGGTCAGAGGTGGAGGTCCTTCTTGGTCTTTACCATGTAAAACAGTCCCTGCATCCCTTTGTCCGTCAGCCGAACGTTAAAGTTCTGACCAAGGAAAATGACGAGCCGCTCGCGTTGCGGACGGACAAGAGTTCTTCGCGACGCGGTCCGTTCGATATTTATTTAGTAGGAAGTATGCGCCTTCACCCATGGGACCATCTCAGATTTTCATGGCATAAGAAATAGATTTCAACCTTCGTTTACGTCTTTGCAGATGTTGAGCTTCGCTGATTTTTCAGTTTCTTCTCAGACGCATTTTATATATATATATACAATTTTAAACAAATGTTTGTGTTAAATTACTGTCAAGTTTGAAGAAAAGCAATTTGCAAATTATTGTATGTGCGCGCGCGCGCGCGCGCGCGCGCGCACACACACACACACACACACACACACACACACACAATAATTTAATGCAAATTGCTTTTCTTTAAACTCGACAGTAATTTATCACAAACCAATTTGCTTGTTTAAAGTTGTTTAAAAATCACAAATCATCTATAATTACATAATTTTTTTCCATAACGAAAAACTTTTTTTCTCAACTAAAACTGAAAACAGAAATTAATAAAATTGCAAATTTGTTCTTGTTATTGACATGTTTTATTGACTTCAAGACTAATGCTTTGAGACGTCGGGATACCGTTTCGTAATCGCACATCGTGACAGAATTTCGCGCTCATCCTTCGCCCGCTGTTATAAATGGACGCTATAAACGTGTAGGTGTCGTTTTGTCGAGCGACGATCGTGGGCGCACAGGGAGACCCACCATTAGCCTGCAGGTGTTGGATATCCCAGCCAAGCCATCACTCCCTTATTCCGGGTGATCATGCTCAAGGCATCATGATCCCCGGAACGACAGGCGGAAGATTCGTTATCTCGCGCGAGAATGGAGAGTGGCGAGAGAGAGAGTAAATAATCCTCTCCCCGTATTATCCCCATCCGGGTTTTTGGAAAATCGTCGTTAATGTGTTCTGCAAGATCGTCCCGCGCGTCTCGACGTCGCCGACGATCAGATCCGCTTTGTTGTTGTACCAATTGTTGTTACCTTGACGAGTTCGAGCTCGCGCGTAGTTTGTTGCTGAATAACAGAATTTCCGGTTGTGTTCGAAATGTGCGCTGGTATCGGCATTTCGGTTATTCGTTCAAAAAGTGTTCGTTACAGAAGGGAGCAACATATATATCCCGGTATTTCGTCTAATTCAACAATTAGAGGTAAAACAATCAATTTGTATATCTTTGAATTACAAAGGACGAGAACGGTATGTAGGCCAAATATCTCCCCAAAACCAAGTGATAAGAGATGCTTTACGATCGTTCCTAGTAAATATGCGCGTATTCTACGCGAGAATTATCGTGCTAGTTTTGTTTGGGTACCATTAATCTGACCCGCGGTACAATTAACGAGGCGCAAAATCGCAGTTGCTCTCGTGGGTATATCGTAACGTTGGTATAAATAGAGCACTGCATCCATAATGCTTCCAGGAGCACTCTTCCATCCTGTAATTACATTTATCCTCATGAATTTGTTTCCGGCAACGCTTCGGTCTGACCCGGCAGCCGTGCTCGTACCATCTGCATTCCACTTGCTCGTCGGGATCTAGTTCCGGCTGTGAAGGATAACTGAAGAACTCGTCCTTCACGTCTCCTCGATAATTCCCATAGTCGCTTCTTAGTTCGTGCATGTGTTCTTCCTTCTTGTAATTACACTTATCCTCGTGAACATGCTTCCGATAACGCTTCGGTCTGACCTGGCAGCCGTACACGGACCATCTGCATTCCACTTGCTCGTTGGGATCCAGTTCCGGCTGTGAAGGATAACTGAAGCAGTTGTTGTCCACGTCTCCTTGTTGGCTCATGTAGTTGCACTTCAGCTCGTGCATATGTTTTCGCCTTCTCGGCATGTTCACCATGCAGCCGAATCGTTTGTACTTGCACTGCACTAACTCTTCGGGATCGTAATTGCTACCAATCGTCGCAGACGCGAGACTCTCGCTGATTTCATTCACTCCCTGAAACTTATCCTTGTAGATGCAATACTTCTCGTGAATGCTGCGTCTCCACGGCACCGTTCGTACTCTGCATCCTGCCGCGGAGTACGAGCACTCCACCAAATCATGGCCATGGTGAAGATCGGTCGGCACCTGTTCTTCCTCCAAATGCGGTCGAAACTGGCATCTGTAATTATAATTTCCATTATCGGTATCGTCGAACGCGCAATTCACAGATCATAATTCGACGAACGAAATCGGAAAGATCGCAAAAATTAAGCTTCACCTCGACTCGTGAAGCGTCCGCAGATGCTCCGGTATCTTCACCCAGCATCCCAGATGAGAATACGAACAGGTTTCGAGCTGCTGACTCGCAGACGGCGCAGGCGGTTCCCAAGATCTCCTCTCGTGCTCCAGGAAGTCGTTTATCGGCGGCGCGCTGGGATTGTGATCGTTGCGCGACGGCATGGGATGCGGCATCAAGTGTACCGGTTGGGGTGTGCTCATCGGTGGCGGCCGAATTTCCATGTCCAACGGTGCCGCGCACGTGGGACAAGCGTAGTAATAAGGCTTGCAACGGTAGCACACGGTGTGCCCGTTGAGACAGGAGTATCTGGGCGTCAGTTCCATCTCCATGAGGCAGGTGGGACAGAGACCTTCGGTCTTGAAGCGCTCGTAAAGATTCGGATACAGCTTGTCCATGACCTATCGGTGAGAGCAGTTATTTAGTGCTACCGTCTTTCGGTTGTCCTCCTCATCGGTCTCTGGGAGATTGAGATGAATTTACTTCGGCGGAGTACAGGCAAAGCCAAAGAAGAGCCCGCTGGAGGAGATGAAGAGAAATTACTCTGTGCTCTTTTACTCTATAGGAGCGCGATCCAAGTTGCTCTTTTGCTATGAAGATTTATGTGCAATTCAATATAGAATAATGGAGGACTTAAGAGAGGCGAACGAAGATTACGGTTGTTACGGTGAAGTGCAAATAGGATTAGGATGAATGCGTGCGAGTGTGCGCGTTCAAAGATACGAGCTATGATTATTTGATCAGGTGAGTTTTGAATTTTGTACCTGATAACGATCATCTGATTCTCCGCCATTTAACTGGCGTCCGTACACACGTAGTATCGCGCTTAATGAAGTTTAATGCAAATTAATCAGACTTTTAACTTTTATAAAGTTTTTACTTAAATATTAAATCGTGGTTTTAAAGTAGGTCTTAGAAATTGTGGATTTAAACGATCTTTTTTAAATATCGCCATTATACATATTGTTCTTACAACGCATTCACTAAATACGTAATATGTAATTGAATTCAATTGCAGAAAGCAGAAATATTGTTTATAATGAAAATACAACTTACTTTATTTAGCTATTGTTGTCCTCTCGAGAGAGACGGAAATAAAGGCAAGAATTACACAATGCGATAGGGAACGGAAAAAAAAATAGCTAGAGCGACACCTACACTTTCGAAAGCACGGGCACCGTGTGTCATCGTCAGTCTGTCACCGTTCCCTTATCTACCGAGACCGATAGCATGACTTTATCTGATAAAACGTTCTGCTCATGATAGAGAACTGTTTCCACGTTTTGCTGCGCCAGATAAAACGCTCGCGCCCGGACGGGACGATACAGTCGGAGGAAAAAAAATTGCTTGCTCTCGTTGCTACCCACTTCGCGTCACCGAATGGTAACCGTCGCCGGTATTTATTATGCTCGTACATATGCGGATAAAAAATTGGGAATATAAGGCGAGCGTGCTTTTTCGCCGGCGGGTCGTTTGCGTGTTCCGTGCTTGGAATTAATTAATGATTTTTCATACGGTCCCCGTGATGTCGCAGAGATTCCTCCGCGAAAGAAATTCTTTTTTACGCACGGATTCCTCAATCAAATCAAAATCGATATCTCCTTTTCAGAAATATCGTTGGAGAAAAATGGACTTTAAATCTCGCCGTTGGAAAAAAATGGACTTTAAATTATTCGCAAATTTCGTAGATAAGATAAAACGCAGAAGAAATCTGAGACATTACGTATATATGTTTGAAGAAAGAATCGCACTTCCTCGTTACTATGAGACAAATCATAATTGATCCCCCGTTTCGAATAACATCGTGGTTATTAATTGATGATAGTTAATTATATGTGAAAAATCAGCAACACGTAAACGTAATTATATATGCGTCCCATGTATGTAGCGCGCATGTCACGTATCATGTTGCGTTCACTTTGGCGATATACAATCTTCAAATTAAATCTACAATCAGGTATCACATCGTCATATATCATTGCAAAAATTTCGCTGGTCTCGCGTTATTTAATCTTGGACGCAGTCAGCTTGGAAGCGTTATCTATATGGAATTAACTTGTAAATGGTGAGATTCAGCAAATACATTTACAAGTATTGGTACGAAATGGATTTTCTCTTTAATGAATACAATTTTGATGGTCAATCGAAAACCACGACCACTTCATTAGAGAAGTATTGTCGAGTTAATTACTCGAATGTAACGTCGAAATTTGATCATTATCGCCGCTGAGGGATATACACATATATTTTGCAATAACGTTGCAATTAACAAATTTTTAATTATTTTTTTATTGAATCACATTTTTATTGGTAAAAACCGCACTATCGATACGTGAATAAAATAATATAATATAACGAAAATTTTAAAATATTGATATGTAATAACCATAAATTTATGATAAAAGAATTTGAGAAATAAGTCGAAAGTTGTTGGAAAATAGGGAAACTCAGTTCGCTTAGTTTTCGACAAACATCACGCGTGAATATCCGCGAATAACGAAACCAGATACTTTCGTGTGATATTCCACACCGGGTCTCGTAACGACCGTTCCTCATTTGAATCCCTCCGCGTATCAAAGATACGACTGAACGACCCTGCCTGCCATGAGGGTAATACTCGCTGACCATAAGTCACTTATGTAAATCTGCGAGATGGAAACATGCGTTGGGCAACAACGACGGTATAGTGACTACGAGGAATCCCAAATTGAATGCAACATCCAGCAATTTCAGTTTATAGTTTACTCCTCTCTCTTTTATAAATTTTCATTTTCAAGAAATCGTTGATAAAGAAGACAAAGTTTTATAAATATATAATATTCTTCGGTTATTTTTTTTATTCATTGCTTGATGTTTGCATGGATGCAATGGAAAATGCGAATTATGAAAGATCTGAGAGAAGTGTTTAATAAATTTTTTGTACGCCACTTAATTCACCCTATGCTAACGTACCGAGAGAGGGAAAGAAAGAAGTATTGAGGGTACAGATATGGTACTGAGAAACGGGGCGAAATAAGCTCGCGACGGTAGCTAGGTATTCAAGCACCTTGAATCTTTTCCTGAGACGTCAATTTACTCTTATTGCCCTTTTCGTAGCGATATTACGCCCTCAAGTTTTTCCGGAAAATCTCGCCCGCGATATCTTGCGTGATTTCGTCCACCTCACCGCGGATAATTTGCGTATGTACACGCAACGTGATTATTTATGATGCAGCCAACTTGGAGGGTAGCTCGTTATGTTGATGAAAAGCAACTATCATCATCTAGGTAAAGTAGGGCTGAGTGTGTCAGGGCCAATGGAATATTGCGGTTTTTATACTCAGCATCTTTTTTGGGTTTGAAAGG